TGTTCGATTCTCTTTTATTTTGTGTCCCTCTTTTTATTTGATTTTCACTTGGCTTGTGCAACGTGGTCCGTTCAGTTAAAGGTGCCGGGCGTGTGTGCGCGCCTGACGTGATTCCTATTAATAATAATACAAGAAAAAAGGAGGAAAGCGAGCGAGGCAAATCGTGACAGGGAGAAGGAAAGATTATGTAGCATTCTCCTGTACGTTATGCAATCGGTGTGGCCCCGTCTTGCGCATGAAGGAGATGGGAGTGAGCGCGGAGAGAGAGAGAGAGAGAGAGAGAGCAAGGAACCACAAAGAAAAAAAAATGTCAAAAACGAAGAGTAAAGGTGAAGGTGGGCCAATGTGGGGAATATGTTTTTTTTTGTTTGTTTTGTTTAACTGAGGGCGGCAACTCACAAGATGCCTGATTTTTTTTTTTGCTTTTGTTCATTTTTCCTTCTAGTCCCTTCGCTCTTCCCTTTGCTCTCATCGCCTCATTTTCTCTCCCTCTCGGTGCCTCTCATCACCTCACCCCTTTTACTACCATGAAAATGTTGTTCTAAATTGCAAGGCGGGTGGGTGACCTCTGGGGTCCCCACCAAAGAAACCCTCCCTCAACTACATTTATGCGGCCTAATGTTACATAGTACACTCGCAGTAGTTTGTGTCTCTCGCCCTCGCTATCTTTCTTTCTCTAGCTGTGCTCAGCACGCCTATATTACTGACATTGACGGCGGGGAGATAAAGAACTGGCCTGCGCGAGTGTGCCTGAGAGCCGGAAGAGAATGCTTCGCCTTGTGTGTACAAGGCGCCGTCAGGCGGTCGCACTCTTCACCATGAAAAGCTTTCGGGCCCGACAGAAGATTCTGCTGACTCCACAGAACGTAACGACTGTATTCATGGAGAAGTTGGACCCGCAGGATCGTCTGCTGCGGCAGTCTAGTGTTGGCGCAGGGGCCAGTCGTATTTTGGTGCTTGACAAAAAACAGCGGGTTCGCGGGGTCTACCACCCTCTGCTATGCCTTCCGTACCCAATTGATGGTGCTGGCGTGTTGGGAATTCCTGTGGAGTCGTATCTGCAGCGCATTCAGCAAAAACAGCGGGCTGCTGAGGATTTGGCGGAGGGGTGCACATTTATCGTGGTTGCTCATGCCAATGGCCTTGGTTTTGCTGTTTACGCGGCAGACGGAGGTGTCTGTTTCCCCCTAGTGAACATAAAGCTCCCTGCGCAGCGAGGTACGGGCCTAGGCATGATGAATGAACGTGACATGGTTCCTTTTTTAGAAACGACAAGTCTCGTGGAAGATTTTGCAGATGTTATGACAGAAAGCTACACGGAACGTGTACGCCCCTGTAGCACTTTCTTTTTCTTGTCAAACGCCAATACGTCCATTTCTTTTTCTGGTATTAAGACGGCGTGGCAACTGCGGGGTTACGTTGACACGTCACCTCTAAGCTTTGAGGACAAGCGGTGGGTCTCGCTACCAGACATGGTTGCTCAACGGGATCGTAACACGTGGCTCTACTGTCGCGATGATAAGGGTGACAAGGTGGTTAGTGAAAAGGGACTTGCCGCGGGGGTGAAAGTGGGGATGCTAGAGCTTGATACATGAAGGACCTAATAACTGTGAACGAGAAAATTAGACTTCTAAAAGGACATGCTGAATTCCTTTCAACACACAAGCATTTTTTTTCTTTCTTTTACACTTTCTTTGTTGTTGTATACCTACATTGCGTGTGTCTGTCTGTGTGATGCTTTTGTTTGTCTCGTCCTACTACATCATTGCTGTACTCTTCGTTGTCATCGCTACTGCGTAAGGAATGGGGCGCGTAAGACGAGACACAGTGAAAATAGAAGGACAGAGGTGGTTGGAGTGGGGTGGGAGAGAAAAACACGTAGGTGTGGAGTCTACCTCAATCACTTTATAGAGTGGGGAAGGCGCTGACGATGTTACCTCATCACCGTCGCTCACACTTTCTTTTGGTGTGTGCAATGTGGCAGAAGAGGGTGGGTATGCATGGAGTTTTTTGCCCTCGCGCGCGCTCTGTCTAGCGCACCGGTAATCCCTCATATTGAAATACGTACGCATCATAAATTTTGTTCTTTTTTAAAAAAAAAATTTTTATGCTCTTGTTAGTATTGTTGCTGGGGAAGGAAAGGAAACTGAATGACGAGAGCATGTGCCTGCGTCGCAGGCAGCCGCCTGAGAAGGAGGGAGGGGGGAGGAGGGAGTCTATAGAGTGGAGAATAGAAGACGCAACGTTGAAGGGAACGAGCTACGTGCGATGCATCCAGAGATCATGAGTAGTGGAGGGCGGATCAAACCGCGCAGTACTTGCCAATGTACCTCTTGCTTTTGTCGCTCTTCTGGGCTTCCCAGCTACTATGACCGGCGTGACTTGGTACAATTGCATGTTTATTCTATTGTTTTCGATTTCCTTATTCTTTTTTTTTTTTGTGTGTGTGTGGCAAAGTGTCTGTTTCGCAGGAGTAGGAACAACAAAGTAATATACATATATATATATATAGTGGGGGTGGGGGAGGGGGGAGGAATTGGCGCAAGAAATGCGTCGCGGGTGTCAAAGTTCCATCATCTTCTCTATCTCTTTATGTCCTCTAGTCGCACCTTCCCATGGCATCATTGCCTGCAAGGGCATCGTGGAGAACCGCATCAAAGCACTACTCTAACCGTACTGTTGAGGAGACAAAAGCTGAGCGAGAGGCACAGATAGAGAAGTCCGGGCATCCCGATCTGCGTAATCGCAGGGAGGAGCTGAGCCACCTCACACACCACTGCGGCTATGAGTATGTTCCTGAGTTTCAGCGGTGGACAAACGGCATGATGGCCGTATACAGTGATCCTCAAGGGTGTATGGTCATGACATGGCATATCATTACCACCGCATCTGGAAAGCGAAAAGTCCTACACGGTGTGGTGTTGAGGACGGCAGCGGAGCTTTTGAGTTATGCAAGATTCATCCAAGGTAGAAGCCATGTTTCTGGCAGTTGAGCTAATTTCTCCATCCATTTCAACTTTTCTGTGCGTGTGTGTGTGATGTAGTGGTGGGGGCAATTAGGATAGAATGAGGGGATGTGGAAGGGTATTGGTCGGGAGGTGTTGGGGGGGGGGGGGTGGTTACGTTTGACCGCTCATTGCTTGTAGGCACAGAGTAAGAGGAGTTGGCAGACAAGTGTGTAATAAGGGGAGAAGGATGCATGGAAATGTTGCTCAACTGCCTTATTATTATTACTATTAATGGCCCGTTGTGTAGTGCGATGTTTTTTTTTCCATTTTGTTGGATGATGTGGCATGAACTTCAGTAATTTAGTTTGTTATTATTATTATGCGTCTGCGCCACCTTTTTTTTGGTTTTTGTTTGTTTGCACTGTACGCACCGTCGTCCAGGAGTTTTTCTCTCCGCGTCCACGCGTATGTCAATTTAAGTTAGATGGCGAACCATGCCATTTCGTGAAATGGCAATTGGCAATTACTTCTCCCCCTTCTATTTCCCTGTAGTCGAAGTTGTTTGCGTCGTACAATGAGCACCACAAGTCGCAGCGAGATGCCTCAAAGAGGCAATCAATTGAGGAATGTGAGCGAAGCTTCTGATATGAGATTGTGCGCCAATGACTTGTTGCGTTTACCATGGTATGGCATTCTCCTTATTTTCCTCTACCGTCTGCTGCTCTGCCTAAGCACCCAGACTGCAGAGTCGCCAGACGAGTGGTGGCAGAGCACAGAGGTTGCCTACAATATTGTATTTGGCAAGGGACATCTTCCGTGGGAGTGGCACGTAGGCTTGCGCTCTGTAGTCTTCCCAGGCATGTTGTCCATTCCATTTTTTATGTTGAAGCTATTAGGTCTTGACTCAGCGTGGGCAGTGTGGTTTATTGCACGTCTTATGCAATCATTTGTCATAACAGCTATCGACTTTTTTGTCTTTCGTTTGGGAGGATTGCTGGATGTGGAATTGCGACAAGCGACAAAAAATGCGGTTGGTGCGGGAAATTCGTCAAAATCAATTATGTTTCTCTCAAAGAAGGTGACTAAGGGGAGAGCGTTGGGTAGGTCTGTCGCTCACTTTGCCCTATTACTTTCATTGAGCAACTGGTATATGTCTTATGTTGGAGTTCGTGTTTATGGTAACGTGATGGAAGCGTTACTGGTCCTTATGGCGGTACAACAAACAAATTACACGGGATTTCTTTTACTCAGTGGATTGGCATGTGTCATTCGTGTTACCTCTGGCGTCGTTCTTTTTCCACTTTTATTTTTGCATGCCTTATGGGCTGTGCGGGAAGGAGGAGTACGGAAGGGTCTAATGCATATTATCTTCCGGGGACTTTTGATATTCTTGGTTGTGTTTGGTGCTCTCGTGTTGTGTGACAGCTTATTTTATAATAAACTGATTGTCACGCCCATTGTGTTTCTACGCTTCAATGTGCTGCAGAACTCCAGCCGCTTCTTTGGGGAACATCCATGGTATTTTTATTTGGTTTTATCTCTCCCCGGCCTTCTGGGACCGCATTTTATCTTTACTCTCTTTGCACCGCTTGTGATGTACCTTGATAAGACGAGTAAGGTGGTGAAACGGCATATGCTCGGTTTGATTTGCATTATATTATGGTCTATATTTTGTTACTCCTTAATTTCTCACAAAGAGAATCGTTTTATTGTGCCTGTAATGCCAATTGCTTTTGTGGTGACAGCCTTTGTTTTGGCACGGTTGTACGATAAGTCACGCGTTGTGCGTGGCCTTCATCGTGTTTTTCTCGTGTTTAACCTTATACTGTTCCTTGTGGGAGCTTATGTCCACCGCAGAGGTGCGTTGGACGTGATGTCGGAGTTGAGACATGGGCCGAATATTGACCGTGTCGATATCATTGCACGCTGCTATATTACCCCCGGGTACAGTTTTGTGCACGGCAAGGTGAATCACTTGAGTCTCATTGACTGCTCTATGCGTCTCAATCCCGATACGGGGCTACCTGAGCTCACGGAAGACAGTATGTTCCAACGGTACCCAAAAGACTATGTCTTATGGAAATATGACGGTGTGCACACGTTTAACGTGAGTGATCCCGAGCAAAGACGCAATGCTGATGAATTGGGGCGAGTAGTTCGACCCAGTTCAGCACCGTATCCAGACGTTATCGTGACGTTTCACAGCACTGCCAAAAAAATACAAGGGCCATTTCTGGAAAAGCATGGATACAAACTTTACAGGTCCTTTATTCACACACCTTTGTCATTTGACTCTTTTGAAGACGTGCATTTAGAAATGTGGGTTCGAAAATTAGTCAAGTATAATTGAGAGATAGAGAAAGAGTTTAGAATAGGTTAAAAAAAAAAAAAAACTGGTCAGGTGGAGTGTTGATATGGCAGGTGTGCGTACCTATGGTAGAAGCATGGGAGAACTTAGATTAGTCTCTTTTTGAAGGGGGTAACACTTTTTCCTAATTCACACACCGCATCATTCACTTAAGTGATCGATATTTATTTGTGGTACGCGTGCGCTACGTATTTGTGTAGATTTATATGTGTTATTGTTCCGTTTTAAATTTTGTTGTTGTCTTTTTTTTTTTATCTTGGTACGAATGCAGGTGTGAATGCGTGGCGGGAGAGCGTGGTGAGGGCCGCGGCACACGTATGTCGGAATCGGAGGGGCCGCAAAAGGCAGCCGTTGCCCTTCATCTTCAGGAACAAGATGACTCCGTACTGTGTGCCTTTCGGCCTGACTTTTTTAATGGAGCTCGCAAGGGTGCGGCGTGTGATGCTGTTTTTTACGGCTTGGTTCTCCCGTCGGACGTATGTGGAGTTGAGGGAAAACCTTAGAGATCACGAGACGAGTGTTCTACGCCATCTAGGCCGCGGCAAGTGGACAATTTCACTTGGATTTTGAACCCGACCTTATTTGACACTTGGCTGTGTTTCGCTAGCGCTAACGGTACTGATGAAGTCGGTCAAGTTTACACTTGCAAACTACCGTTATCAGGAGCTTGTCATGGACGCCATTGGATTCACGCTGCTGGAACAGATGTGCGCCGACTTACCGGAGGGGAAGGAGAAACTTGGGATATTTATTGATGAGGTTTTGGCAGACCTGAAGGCAGGACCAGTGTCGCCCTCTGGCAGCAATGCGAATAGCTACAGCCTTCCTTACAAAAATGTTACAAGTACACTCATGCAAGGAGCGTCGCCGTTGCGTGAGCGAAGCCCCCCGTCCTTCTGGGATGGGATGGCGGTGGGTCTCCTGGGCTCTGTCATGGACTGTTACCTACCGTCAAAGCCGCTCCAGAGTTACTACGGCATGCGGTGTGGGATGGGGCGTGTGACATCAATAAAACATGATAACAACTCTTTTCTTTTTTTGGTTATTTTTTCTGCCGAAATGGATCTCGCAGCACAAAGGGATGGATGCAGCATTTTGTTTTAAACGTGCGTGCCTTGCCTCACGATAGATAGGCTAAAAAAGAATATTTTCTGACCCTTTTCTTTCCCCACATCCTTTGCACTCTCCCCCTTCTTATCCTGCTTTGATTCATGTGATGCGTGCCCCTCTTTATGGGTACTGATGGTGAAGGGGTGGTAGGTTGATAGTACAATGGTGGTATTTGTTATGGGTGCCCCAAGAGGCAAAAATGGCGCCCCCGCAAACCGCCCGATCATATCTAGCTTACGCGATGTTTTGTATCACCAATGCATGCACGCCACAAACAACTCTCAGAAGAGCTTGGAAGTATTAAATTCAAGTGCTTCCACCTCTGATAAATTTCTCAGCACGAGTAGTCAAACTATACCCATGCTTCGTCAAAGTTATGCCGATGCCATTGATGAGGTTTTTGAGGCTGAACGCCTGTATGAAATCCGCAGACAAAAGGAACTCATGCTGCAGGCATATTTGCATGAATTAGAGGAATTGGTGAACACACCTTCCCTAACACGAGGACAGTCTGGTAGTGCGCTTGAATCTGACTCTGTCATGTGTTTCTTCCGCTGGACGTCACCATGGAAGCATTCCTATACCCCTTCTTCCTTTCATACTGGGCGGGCTTTACTCTACATTCATGAGTCTTCTCAGCTAGCGCCACTCGTACCTTGCCGAGGTGACCTTGTTTACGCCACTCTCAAACACCGGTCCGTTGCCATCAGCGGTTTCTCTGAATCTTGTTGCCTTATGGCATTGCCACTGACGTTGCCTCCCATGGATGCGGAGAGGTTTGCCACAATAGCACTGGAGGAGATGATGGCACGGCACGAGCTGCTGCTTCGCGAGGACCGCTTACGACAGCGGATTAGCGGTAGAGAGGTGGGCGCTTTTTTGCGAGTGCAGCTTGTCATCCGCACCAATGCACGCTTTCATCAGACACGGCTCTCCTCCTTGGAAGGAATACGGCGCAAAGAGTTAGAGTACCTGAGGGATGGAATCTTCCAACGTGCGAAGAAACAAGAGGAGGAGCATCGCAAATTTATGTACCGTCTACCACCGGAGCGATTGATGCCCCTTAAAATCCCAACTTTAACATCTTCTGGACATCCGTATGCGCCCACCGCTGTGGACCACGAAGTCGCGCGAGCATTGGCGGTGGAAGAAAGAACCTGGAAACTGACAGGAAGGCGGAAAAAGTCTTTCTTTCCGCCGATTGTGTGATGTGAAGAAAACAAAATATAAAAAAGAAACAACAATGTACAAAAAAAAAAAAGTTGCGTTTATATGATATATTGAGTGCTTTCGGCGGAAAGGTTTTCTTCTTCCAACAAAGTGTAATGGGGAGTGGAGAAAATGCTTTTCTGTGTCCCTTCTCGTTCCAACGCCGGTCCACGTCACATCACACAACAGAGCAAGACAATAAACAAGAGCATTATTGTTATGAGAGTAAATTTAGTTTATTACTTCGGTTGCGTGTTGTGTGTTTTTCTTTGCGCTTCATAATATATATATTTTCCGTGTGACTAAAAGGGGTTTTGGCGCGTTGCAAACGTATGGGGAAACACGGGAAGGAAAGTTTTTAAATATAACGTATATGCATGCATATACTTTTGTGCGGGCGGATTCTTTGAAGTTGGCAACTTTGCACTGTTTGCCGCCGTGTACAGTTTTCCCGAGTCTTGTTTCTTATTGTTTCAGTACAGAGGGATATCTTGTTTTTTTTTCCGGTATGCCTCTTTTGTCAGATCTCTTTTGCACCGCTTACTTCAGTTTGACGGATTGAAGACGTATCTGCGTAAACGTTGTTTTTTTAAAAAAAATATATTTATTATTATTATTATTATCAAAAAAAAAAAAACATAAACAGGGGTACTGGTGACGAAAAAGGGAAGATGAAATAGTTGCAACTGAAGCAAAAAAAAAAGCAAAACAACATTCACGTGTCAATGTTTCAGGCGTTTCCACTGCAGTACAAGAAGATGACACGGCTTTTAGTGCCTTTCCTTAACCTTGGTGTCTGCGAAGTCTTGAACTGCCCCACTAGGGATCATATGAGCTCCTTCACTGTTCATAACACACGCAACTGTGGTGCCCACGTGGTCATGACTGGAAGCAGCAACAGCAGCTTGGAAGCCGCCGCTTCACCATCGATCTCGTCTGTTCCGTTCATGTCAGAGGTTGTGGCTGGCGGTTTGTGTGACAGCTTTACCGGAAATCAGTGCTCTCGCTACGTTGGGAGCTATCTTGCTCGTGCCCTTGGTATGCACACTGTGCTGTCGGAAGGCACTGCCCAGCTCCGCCGCGAGTTAAAGGATGACCCCATTATCGATATAATGATGTCTGCGCTATATTTGTGAACGGTTGCTACATAGTAGAAAGTTACACGCCGACAAAGGTACACCGCCTGGGTTTTGTTGTGTGTTTTCTGAGCGGGAAATGCAGTAGTACGCCATGTTTGCCGATAATGCGTTTATGAATGCGTGCCGAAAAAGTGAGGTGGCTGGTGGGTTCATTGAAAAAAATGTGCTGCGGAATAGCGAGGCAGCCAACAGTGGGTGTCGAGCAGTGTGAGCGAAAGTATGAGGTGCGTCATGGCGCTGCTGCGCCACTCTCTATGCAAGGAGAGGCAAAAACAATAGCGTCTAACAACACCGGGAATGAGCGCGGAGCCGTGCCGCCGACGTCACCTTTCTGTCTCGATGTGCTTGTGAGCAGTGCTGGGGACTCACATGCATTTGGTATAGCGCGGAACACCTTCTCCTCGGGCTTTCACGATCCTTGGGACGCCACACGAGAGCCTGTGGTCTCGTTGAGCTGAGATCACAAACCACTTCAGACGCAGGAGCTTCGTCGAATCCTTAGTGCTGGCGGAGTTTTGTGGTCTGACGTGGGCAATGTCATTGACGGAGAACCTTTTTATAATGTCTCCAGAAGCGTTGGGCATTGGTCAATGAAATGTGACTCATGGAAACCACCGAGCGAGCAGAAGATTATTGCATTGCCAACGTGCTCTTCCTGGGAAATGCTGCCAGGGGATGTGTTGATTCTTTGTAACCATGCGGTGTTTGAGACACGTTGTCAGGAAGAATCCTCAATGGACGAGGTTGCCAAGGTTGTCGGATGTGAACTTGATCACGAGGCAGCTCCAGAAGAAGCCGCTGCCGCGTTGTGCAACTATACCATTCGGTTTGGTGCTAGACACTCACTGCAGGTGATGATTGCTGTTGCGACGGCAGCCAACTCCACCCATGTACCGTGCGAGGTGCTGGAGCAGGAATGGGTGGTTCCTGGACCCATCTACGAAGAGCCGTGCCGTCGCTCACGGGAGTATCGAGAAGCGTCGCTGGTTGACTATGAGCGCTGTGGAGTGTCTTTGGCAAAACTCCTGGAATTGCGCTGGCGTCAAGTGAGAAACCTACTTCCATCCCGCCATGCTATCCCATTGATGGCGTACTATGGAGAAGAGTGTTCCGTCCTCCATGAAATGATGGACGAAGAGGCTCTGTTGTTCGCGCATGAATCTTTGCCCCCTGACGGTTGCAGTGAGGAGATATTGATGAAGTATGACAAGGCACAGATGCGGAGAACGTTTGAGAGAATAGCCAAGTCGCTTGTGGCTTCAAGTGCCCCAACAATGGCGGAGAGTGCAGGTTGATTTCAACAGATAAGGCTATGTGGAGCGGTGAATGCTGATGACGATGTTGCGGCGTGCACGCATATATATATATATATATATATATTATCCCTACACTACATTAGTGTCTTTTGGTTTCACTTTTCTTCGCTTCGGGTGGGGGGGGGGGGGGGGGGGGAGGTAAAATAAGAAGGTGTTTGCTGCGCTTTTTCTGCTTATATCTATCTCTTTGTCTTTGTATTGGGAGGTACTGTTTCTTTATTTTTGGTCTCAACAGTACCGAAGCCTCATTATCGTAATACGAACACCACAGCGCGAAAAGGAAGGCAATAAAAAAGAAAACAAGGAACGTGGTGGAAGCCGCGCCAAGGAGGATTACTGTTTGCTGAACTTTTTTGTGTGGTACAGCGCCTTCGTCATATAATTCATTATGAGGATGAATAGTCTGGGCGATAATAGGGCACTGTTGCATGTCCTTTCTCTCTCAGAGAATACATCTCGGAGTCCTGATGATATTCTCGCTAGTGCAATCGCGGGTGGCGTTGTCAGGGTCTTCGCTGATGAGAAGAAACGATATATTGACGCGGTGCTGCTTCCTTCTTCACTTGACCTCACGACCTTAGCAACGTTCATTACAGATGGCTTTTTTACGCCCTTTCTTCGCTCTGCTCTGGGCGATCATCTGCCGCGGTACACGATCCTGACAGAGTCAGGTTGCTTTGAGCTGTTGTCCCTACCAGTGCTTCTGTTTCCTGACTGTTTTTCGTCACCGCCCTCACCAGAGGTCATACTTTCCAGAAACTCATCCTCTGAAGGCATCTCCATGGTGTCCGCGTCCGCGCTTCAGGCGGAAGTAGTTGACGTTGTGCAGCTTCACCAGCACCGTTCTCAGGTGGGACTGTTACTTCTGAAAAGTGTAAATGATGTTTTGCGAGATGCGGAAGTGTGGAAACTGAGGGTATCCAGAGAGAAGACACCGACAGGAAACTCTGAACTGCCCGCCATCAATGCTGTAATGGCGCTTTTCTATGAGGCAAAGATGCTGTTGCTCTGCTGTATTGTGAGTACCCAGAAGGCGTACGCAGTGGGAGTGAAGCCTTGCGCTAAGGGCCACAATTTTGCACAGAATTACTTTAGTGAACTTTTTACGTTGGATGAACTCCGTGGGATATTCGACCACCGCGGTCGGCCCTCCGCGGAGGATGTGGAAAAGTGGTACGACGCCAGGATGCACGCGCTGATTGGAGAGGCTTTCATGAAGGAGGGCGAGCTGCAAGAATATGTTAATGGGTTGCAGCAATCATTGGCAGAGGATGAGCGGCGGATAACAGGAGCCCCGATATCCCTTATGCATCGTCCGCACGATGCGGCGAGCACGACGCTCATTCACCTCCCGTGTGTTCACTGCGAACTTCCAAGACTTACATTACAACCCGGTGAGATGACGCTTCTCCTGTTTGACTCTGCAGGCGTGTCTCTGCTATTTGATGCGGAGCCATCAAAGCTGTGCCTGCTGCTACGCCGCTGCGCGTCCGTGAAACTGACGGCGTCGCAGCTGCGAAGTGCGGATGTACAACTGGCGAGCTTCCCTTGGAGTCAGCTTTGCGATGCTGTCGTGAAGTCTGTTGAATATCATCTTTCCAACGATAAATTCTTGTCACTCTTGCTTGAAAAAAATAGTTCTATTCTACTGATATTGGTGCAGTGGCTAACAAAGGTACCCACAGTTGTTGACGACGCGACAGTTGTGGGCTTGAATGAAGCAAGACGGCATGAGGCTTTGGGTGCGTCCATGGCAGACCACATCATTGAACACGTCATTTTCTCCTCCTCCTTTGGGGCCGCTAGCGCGCAATTCATACGTGGGGCGGTGGGCTGCGCTGCACTGAGCGAGGCACTTTTCTATGCATGGGTGGATCGCTCTCTAACCGAATTGGAGAACAAACCACCAGCGTTGATTGGGCTCTTTGCGCTTGTTGTTGTCTTTTTTCTTGCGCAACGAGGATGGGACTTGCCAGAGGCAACCCGCGAACCTGCCATCCGGCTCTGCGCACAACATAAGCAGCAGCCAGATTGCCTTACCCTGCTCAACCACCTCCGACGCCATTCCCAGTAGCTTCCATACAAGGAGGAGAATGCGAATAAGGAAAGGGTTCAAGCACGAAATGTGAACGCATTTCATTGCTTTGAAATGGCAGTTACCACAGAGGGGCCATTTACGATGACAAGAATCATCACAACCAGAACAATATGCCGTTGATGTAATACTACATGGGGCCGCATCTGCTGATTCACCCTTTCGTATGACTCTTGTTTTATTTTTCGTTGTTTCTTGTTTCATTCTTTGTCTTTGTTTTTCCCAGTTTTTACTGCTTTTCATGTTTGAACCCCCCTCCCTCCATTGCCGTACGTTGGTGCGTAAAATATGTTTACGTGATGGGGCTGTGCTGTTTACAGGAGTGTGTTGGCTATCGCCTCTGGCAGACTGATTATTTTGTGCATCTTAGCCCCCACTTTTATTTTAATTTTTACTTTCACTCCCATTTTTGCTGCACATTTGTGCCCGTGTGACTCTCTCACCGCCCCTCGTCACACACACACACACACACACACCAAACACACAACGTCACTCGCAAAACTCAAAAGGAAAAGGCTGAAGCATGCGCAACTACAACAATTTCAATCGTGTCTGGAAGGCGCCGCGCCGCCCGTTCGAGAAGGAACGCCTCGACCGAGAGATGAAGCTGTGCGGCCAGTACGGCCTGCGATGCAAGCGTGAGATTTGGCGTGTGAACATGACGCTTTCCAAGATGCGCCGTACGGCCCGTCTGCTGCTGACGCTGCCTGAGAACCACCCGCGCCGTCAGCTGGAGGGTTCCGCCATCATGCGCCGCTGCCACGACTATGGCTTCCTTGAGGAGGAGAAGGACAAGCTCGATTACGTTCTTTCCCTCACCGTCCCCGACATTCTGGAGCGTCGACTGCAGACCGTGGTGTTCAAGCACGGCCTTGCCAAGTCCGTGCACCACGCCCGTGTTCTCATTCTGCAGCGCCACATTGCTGTGGCCAAGCAGATTGTGACAATCCCGTCGTTCATCGTCCGCGTGAGCTCTGAGCACCACATTGCCTTCGCTGATGCCTCACCGTTCGGCAACGGCCGCGCGGGACGCGTGAAGCGGGTGAAGAGGAAGGCGGCCAAGAAGACTGCTGCCGGCGGTGACGACGACGAATAAGGTGCGCAACACCCACTCAGCCAGTCCGATTCATTTTAGCATTAAATATTTTACTTTCTCCAAAAAGAAGAACAAAAATTGTCAAGACACAAGCAGATATATATATATATATATATATTTGCGTCACTTCTGTCAAAAATTACTACAATCAAAGCCTGACAGTAAAAGAAAAAAAAAATCATCCTTTTTCAATGATTCAATATTTTTTTGTCGTGAAATTGTAATAATGAGCAGTAAGAGAGTCACACAAGGAAAAACAAAATAACAGTTAAATCATTCAGCAGCACAAACAATTATGGCTAAGCGTGTGGAGGTGTTGCAGACGCAGTTGCCGGCGTATAACCGCCTGAAGACGCCGTACGAGGCGGAGCTTGTTGCGACCGCCAGGAAGATGACGGCTCCCGGCAAGGGGCTGCTCGCTGCCGATGAGTCCATTGGTTCTTGTGCGAAGCGCTTTGCTCCGTTTGGCTTGAGCAACACGGAGGAACATCGCCGCCAGTACCGTTCGCTGATGCTTGAATGTGAGGGGATGGAGCAGTACATCAGCGGTGTCATTCTGCACGATGAGACGGTGTATCAGAAGACAAGTACT